AAACATAGAAAAAGAAGAAAAGTAAACATAGAAAAAAGAAGGACAAGAAACCAGGGATTAGGTTAAGTTCAAATTACTTCACACTGCATACACACATGCTGTATTTAAGCTTCAATTAAAGAGTGCTAATTGTTAAAGCTATTTGGTAGCTTAGCCTAAGATTAACTATGCTAAGTTGTGTTAGCTTAGCTGCTTCAGGTGGTTTGTTTACAACATGGCGTCGCGTGTGCTATGTGAAGTTAGCGCTTCCTGTGACAAGTCATTGTCATTGTAACCAATGCATGCCAGTGCAATTCAAGCAGCTTTAGTGTCTGCCTATTTCAAAGAAGTTGCCCACAGTTTAAAATGTGGTGCTTTCAGTCCTTCAAGACTTGTTGCATTAAATAAGCACTTCTGTGAGTGCTTCTCTAATTTAACAATAAACTTCTTGCAGTTGTTTAAAAAAATAACAAAATGGGTTTACTGTAAGTTAAAGCCGGTTTAAACATACATGTAGTTATGTCTGCCTCACACATGAATACTAAAGTACAGTATTACTTTTAGTATTACACACCTTTAATTTCACTCAGCGAGTGAAACACAGTAATGATCACCTAGGCTTGTATATATAGTCAAAGTGTAGATGAATTGCTTCAATCTAATTATAAACTATAAGGCCTTTATGCTGTAGAAAGAGGAGCAACACTCAAATCTACCTTGATATAACTGTACTGAGATTTCTTCTTCAAAGAAACAATTTAAACAATACTGCAATTTTGTGATTTCTTCACTAAAGCATTATACATTATGGTACAGTTTGGACATACCGCTGAGCTGAGATTCAGACTTCTGCTTTGTCAGAACAGATTTATGCTTTAATACTGAAATTAGGGTTTCTTTGCTAAAATCAGATTAACCTTACCATTAAGCATGAAATACATAAAGACTCTTCCAATCATAATAGCGGTACCAATTCAAGCCCCCACTTTATCTGCATTTAAACAAGCCAGCAAATAGGGACACAACAGCGTATCTCAAGTCAAGCACACACTTTTAGGTTGACAGTGTTTAGGCTCATAACCATCGTTTTATCATGCCTGCATTCTCCACCAATCTGTAGCGAATCAGCTCATGGGGAAAATGAATAATTAATCATAACTAGTTATAATCAATTATAAATATTTAGATCTGCTGTAGATATTTACTTGACCTCTCAGGGTCAACTGTCCTGGTTGATTTCCTGGTTAAGGGAAATTACTTTCTTATTGTACAATTCTACACAGAGCTTGTAGCATAAATCTGCATGATTTAAGTGACTACAGTTATGAGCAAACAATGAACAATGTCAAGTGTGATACAAGTAAGACTTTATTAACTACATAAACACTTAAACTAGTCTAACATACTACATAAACACTTAAACTGGTCTAACATACACACATACAGTTTGTATAGGAAAGGGTTAAAGCTTAACTCAGTAAAGAGGAGAGAAAGTTGGTTGATGGAAAAGAACCAGTTTGAGTCAGATTATCTTGGTGAATGGAAAGTCAAGGCCGAAGGCCTGGCACAAAACTTAGGATGTCCTGGAGCGTTGTAGCTCACATCTTCTCAAAACCTAACAGAACCACCGACTCTGGGCGGGTCACATGGTGTGAGGCCTTTAAGGTCGGAGAAGCTTCCCGCCTCTCAAGATGGGCTTGTCCAATGCGAAAGGCCGGAATCCCAAGTGGGAGTTTTGAGATACTGGGGAGTTTTTATGACCCTTTGTGTGAGGGCATGGTAATTTGCAAATGGAACTTGAATCGAAATTACTAAAGATTCTCAGGACACTAATATATTGCCTATGTACCAACATATAATATACACGCTCGTTTAGATCATCAGAAGGCGAATTCATAGATACTAAACATGGTAGGATTACATATAGGCAAGATGACAGGAATGAGTGTTTCCATCATAAGCCTGCATAAAACAGTATAAAATCTCAAAGACAACATACACAATGACCTGAAGGATATGTGTGTTCATTCAAAGAAAGGTTTTCCTATGGATTAATTAGAAAAGAGTCCATTTCTACTGGGCACTGTGTCTCTTTCTAATTCAAAGGCAGTGATTTTCCCTACTCACATTCCATTAGGTCGTAAATGGCTCTGGTCTAGCAAAGGTGTCGTGGTTGCCATGGTAACCAGTGGCCTGTGGTCATTCGTAGACATCCTGGCGCCCAGTCTATTGGGTGAGGGGTCTGTGACGACTTGTTAATCTAATGAATAACTTATTTGTTATTTCTTATAAAGGTTTAAATATGGATATCTTTCTTACACAAGCGCACTGTTCCACTTCAAGAAGGCATTTATTAACCCCCCGAAGCAGTGTGGAGCACTTTGAATGATGGATGGATGCACTTTTTTGGGCTTCAAAATCTCAAACCCCATTCACTGCCATTATAAAGCTTGGAAGATTGTACTTGTCTGAAAGAAGCAAGTCATATACACCTAGGATGGCTTGAGGGTGAGTAAATCATGGGGTAGTTTTAATTTTTGGGTGTACTATCCCTTTAAAGGCCACTGTATGTCTCATTTCTTTTAATTTTTCTATCTTTTCCCATCCTTTCTTTCTTCTGAAGAGGGCCGAGCAGACTGTATCTGGTAAAATCCAGCGTTCCCCCAGTGCACACATGGACGACGCTTTCTCAGAGATGGACACATTGGTGAGACTGGTTGCTTGTCTTTATCTGCCCCTTTCTCAGTCAGTATTAAAACCTGTAAAACCGTATGCTCTGTGAGCTCATGAACTAGTATTTATTGAGAGGTTAATGCTATAGGAACTCAATGAAGTGGAAGTGATCGCCGACGGAACCCCTAGCATCACTTTATCAGTGGCAGAGAGGCCCCGGACTCCACAGAGGAGCAATAGCACTAACATGCCATCTCCCAGGTTGGTGTTTCACATAAAACCTGTATTTAAAGATGAAAATTTGTCATTATTTACTCACCCTCAAGTTCTTTCAAACCTGTGTGCATTCTTTCTTCTGCTAAACACAAAACGTCTTGGTTACTTGTGCAACCCTCGTTCCCTGAAGGAGGGAACGGAGACGTTACGTCAGTCGTGACTGACGAATTGGGATCTCGGCCGAGAGCCCAATCACCTTCGAGTGTAAACTAAACAAGCCAATGATAGCCACGCGCACCCCGCCCCACAGCGTGGGTATAAAAGGAGAGCACGTGCAAACGCACATCAGTTTTTCGCGGAGGATCCGAGACTACGTACCCAGGCCGTACAGCGGTGGTACAGCCACTGTGGCGACGGGACGTAACGTCTCCGTTCCCTCCTTCAGGGAACGGGGGTTACACAAGTACCCGAGACGTTCCCTTTCAGTCAGTCACGTTCTACGTTACGTCAGTCGTGACTGACGAATTGGGATCCGTATGGAAAACGCCACTATTGCTGACCCCCTCCAGTGCCCTGTGGAAGCTGGCAAGTTCCTCCATACCAGCTGGGGCGGAAGATAGGACAGCGGCTAGGCAGAGGTGTCCGCCACTGCTGTTCCATACAGTGGTACATTGGATAACACTGGGAAAGCGTACCCAGTTGGGAACGCTACGGAAGCCACATCCCGCGCATAGGAGGCATCATGTGGAATTACACATATGGACTGGCCCAGGGCAGTGCTACATATGGAAGTCCCTGTGGTAGACTCAACCCGCCTGGGGTAAGATGACTACGCAGCAGAGGTGGCAGCGAACGACTGCCAGGGAAAGACACGGGCTTACCGTGAGGGGAGCCGTACCGTGGACGAATACACATGTGGGATCAGCCGAAGGGGGAATCACTACACACGGGCACCTAGCCCAGCACAAGGGCTGACCTTGGGCATGCACACGAGTGCTGAGCCTGGCGTCTGGCACTCCGCCACGCCTGACCGCCGAGGGTGCGGGAGGAACTCCACCAGGGTTCACCATGGGGAACT